TAGTTGGAACCTATAAATGTTCCTGAAGGGTACAACAGAATCATTGGAATTTTCTCCACATAGAACAAGTCAAGTTTCCCAAATGGTGCATTACTACAGTGTAATCTAAACATTAGCTCAGTGGCAAACTCAGGTAGCTCTGGTAATCTTTCAAGTTGTTTTCTTGACATAATATTTAAATTCAAAGATCACTCTCCTTTTTAGATTGCACAGTTAGATGCTATTATGTTTATTCCCATCCATCTTTAACTCAAAGCAGAATACTTCAGACTCCGCAAAAACAACAATTTTCCCCTAAAACAGAGGAAAAATTCTTGTAGGTAACATATTTTGCACATTTGTTAAAGCATAAGGAAAATTCAGTTCTTTGTATATTACACATGTAGGCCAGTCTTATATGAATTAATGAGAGGGGAGTTAGGTGTTTATTTCTAAAAGTTTTGACTCAATAAACTTGACATACATACTGTATTAAACTGCTTTTTTCCTACAAGAAAAGGCTGGTAATCTCAGTAATATTAGTAAAATTCCTAGTTTGTGTCATGTGAAAATAATATAAGGATAGTTTTTTGTTCATCAGCCGAAAGTTTGTGTGTTGAAAGTCATCTTTATTTCATATGCATATGGGAGTCTTGCTCTTGTACGCAAGACTCAAAAGACAGCACTTACAGTGCTCTTTTATACAGTGAAATAAACGATACAAGATACACTCCCACATTAATTTCTGCTTGCATTGTGGCTACATATGGTCATTCTAGAAAGCTGACCAGTACCTATATTTTCTTTACTGCTGGCTTGTGTGACAAGCAGCCCCTTTGGCTTGTACCTGAATAGACCATTTGTTCCAGGAGAGGTCACTCGGTCATTTCCCTGAGAACTATGCCAGCTATACATAAAGATACAGTGTGGCTATATTATCTTTTGATAATGTTTAAAAATGGATAAGGCCGGGGGGGGGGGGAATCATTGCATTTCAGGCAAAACAAGTACCTTTGTGTTCCTCTAATTTTTCAAGGGTCTTTTCTTTTAGAGATGCTTTATCAGTGGGTTTAGACAGACTATCTTCTGTTCAGGCAATGAGAAGTTCAAGAGAGAATACAGAATGACAGAGATAGGAATGAAGAACATAAGGTAAACAAATGACAAAAAAGAAACTAGAAAAGGTTAATGATTTTTCAGTAGAGAAGATAGTAAAGCAAAGGAGATTAAAAAAGTTGACATGAGAAATATGCAGTTGTGGAAAATAGTGCTCACACACTTTGCAGTAAATTATGTTCTAATTCATACAAGTCTGGATTTATTATACTGTGTTAAAATTCTTATCGTATCAGCACATATTAATTTAGTCAAATATAACTTCAATTTCATAAGTAATTTACTGTATGCAAATAATGATATAGATATGCATGCTCATTCAATACTGTGTGAAGACTATTATGGAATCATGGCCAAGTTCATATGTTAAGACCAACATTAAGTTTGCAAAATATGGATTGTCAAAAAAAGTAGAAAAGGAAAGGAGGGAAAAGGAGGTAACAGGAAAAAATAATATATAATCAGCGTGGTCTACACCAATTAATTTTACATCAGGTTCGTGTTGTAAATTTTAGGATAATTTGCAGCAACACAAAATTAAAATGTTGTATTTACAGCTCCTAGTGTTTTTAAGCTAGTAGTGCTGAAAAAAGGCTTTGACAACATATACTGTATAAAGACACATACTGTATGCAACGCATCATTTTATTGATAGCAATGGCAATATGTTGCAACTAATGTAGCAATTAACACAAGAGGTCTTCTGGCAACATTCTCTATTGTTGCACTAATGATGTGTGTGATATTTAACAACACTGAATAGAATTTCATAGTCACTTTTAGGAACCTGAAATATGTTCTCAAAACACATTACCTGCATTGACTCTGGTGATGGACAGGCCTGATCCAATAGGCCCCAGTGGTTTATTTATTAAAGAAGAAGCATTGCCCCACAAATCTCTGGATGGATCCTTATTTGCAATTAAAGATGTATTCTTAGGATTTACCCCTGAAACACAAGAGCATCACAGTACAAAAAATAAGAAAAAAATCTCAACGTGCAAAATAAAATACTCAACCTAGCTGTGAATGCTGACAAAATGTACACAAGCATCAATACTGAAATACTGTTTCAGTGATACACCGCGAGATCGTTTGCCAGCCAGCAGCCACAATAGTACATAATTGCATAGCTCTCAAGTCTCGGGCATTGGGAGCAAATCGCACGGTCTAGAAATCTCATGTGTCTACATCAAGTCAAGGTTGATTAAAAATATTAAGAATCGACTTGCGATTCCATTAATGAATACTAACGTGAAGTTTAATATATGTAAATATATATATGAATAATATACTGAGCATCTTATATTGCTTGTCACTGCTAAAGCTTAAAGTTATCAGGAAAATAATATTTTTTACTAGATGCAGTAACATTTTACTGAGGGACAGGTAAATTTCTAAGATTCTGTCCCATTGACTGGACAAGTGCGTGTCTGTTCACTGGTCTATCCTATCGACTAGATGTCTTCCCAGCTCATTCCTCAAATGCTGACTGCAGCTCAAGGTCTGTCAAGTAGGCCATCCGTGGCTCGAATAAGCTACTGTTACAGAAGCAGCATAAAGATGTCTGTTGTCTCCATAGAACTCTGGCCACAGGAAGGGCAGCAATAAGGTTCCAGAATGTAATCAATGTACTGTAGCTCCATGTACTCAGGTAGGAATTAATCACTACAGGTTGGCTGTGTAGTGACTAGACACCCCTGCTCACTCCATTAGGGTGGTCTACACAGAGCCTTGATTCTTTGCTGAAGAGGACTTAGCTCCAATTCTGGCAAGTCCACCTGAGGTGACTTCTTCTAGCCTCCCAACAAAATGATACCACAACGGAAGGTCTCTACTGAGGTGGTTCATTGCTGAACAAAGTCACGATCCACAGTCACACAATTCAGTTGGTTGTGAATGATCAGTTCATTAAATTACACCGAAAACATTTAATCAATATCTAAAATCCATATTTTTTAGTCTTCTAAAACATAAACCCATGAAAAAGAGTGATAAGCTTCTTTTGGTGCTCTATATATTCTAGTAATGTGGAGCGCTCAGCATTGCATTTATAATTTAAATGGGATGCCCTTCAGCTTCAGCTGTGACTCATACGTAAACATCAGGAGGAATGTGAAATTATTGACTCACAAAAGTATTTGTCTGGACAGAAAAAAGAATCAAGAACCTAAGAATATTCAGTATATCTGTTCAATTTTAGGTATTTTTGTTTTGGTTACATAAAATGCACACACAATTTTAAAAGTAGTCTTTACCAGGAAGATATCTGGACTGGCGTAAGTAGTGCTGTCTTGCTGAAGCTGAGTTTGAAAGTCCTGTGTCAATCCGATTTACCATGGTATTGGAAGGTATTCTGTTTGCGGCACCATATGTATTGACAGGCTTTTGTTCTGTAGACCTGTGAAGTATGATTAAGAGGGGGGGAAAGCAATGGGTCTGATATGAGATACATTGACAAATGCAAGAAGTTTTTTGAAATTGTCAACATTTTAAAAGACAGAGCAAGCAGAGCAAACTTCTCATCTTAAAGGCAAATCAACAAAATAATGACATTCGACATGTTTTTTTTTCTATTACCAGGATATAAATTACAATACCAAAAAGGCCTATTTATGTTTTGTATCTATTTGTACTGTTTCTAAAAGTGTTTTTGTATTTTTTGGTGAATCAAGAGATAAAAAGAAAGCGAGACATACAAACGTGCAATGTAAAGAACCTTTAAATGAAACTGAGTAAACACCCTGAATAAACCATTATGCAAATTAAAGAATTATGAAAAATAAGGACTTCACATCAATTCAAATTCGAACTGAAGGAAAACTGGATAGGTTACTAAAATAAATGTTCCTGAGTTCACCACTACAGCACAGCAGTGCACGTACACTGGAAAAGTAAGTCTTGCAGACAGTGAACCTGCGGGGAATCAAATATTAACATTATCAATACGATCATTGGCTGAAAGATTTCACTCACCGAAAGAAGGAGTCGTCATTCTGTTTTTCCTTTATCGATCCTATGCTGGGCTTCTTGGAGAAAGAGACACCAATGTCCGAGTCATCGAAATCATCCCAGCTGTCTGAGGCTTTTAACGCAGTCTGGCCCCATCGTCTTCGCCCACTCTTGATTCCCATTAGATTGGAGTTTTCATTCCCCACAGCGGGTGGTTTCTAATATAGGATGTAACAACCTCACAATCACAAAAATTTCATCAACACGCTTTGCACACACCTGCACTATTCGCCTTGTTTGCCGAATTTCACGATCTGCGTAGAAAATCTCCATTTTCTTTCAGATAACCCCGATAACGATAAACAGGTATCAAATGGAATAATTATACTAACACTAGACACAATGTATATAAATATGCAAAGGAACAAGTAATAGGTTTATTCCATGCTGAAAAAAAGAAGAAAGAGAACACAACGTTTCGGCCGTGGAGCCTTCTTCAGGTGTGATGCAGCTTCCCACCTGAACTATGTATATAAATATGCCTAATAACATACTAATACTTGGCAGATAGGTGATACTAATAACAAGGTTAGACTTTAACAGGACAGTATTGTCATACTAATGCAAATTCTAACATTGCCTGTCCTGGAAAGGCCAGTGCGCTCCTGGTAGCTCACCGGCGGGGAGCTGTGGTTGACCGTGGGCAGATATGGTGGGTCCTGTCTGGAAGTGTCCTTCGGCAGCCCCGTCTTGCTGGGTGCCGGCTGTGGAAGCTGGTTCTGCTGCAGGGGCTGGAGGCTGGCCCTGCTCTGGGCCTGTGCCCGGGGGGCAGGCTCTGGAGA